TTAATGAAATGTCAATTCACAAACATGTAAAATGGAAGGCCATAAAGTTTGTGTCTATGTAAACATTTGTACTGAGATTGATGATGACTCGATGCAGATGTGAAGCTTCAAACTGTATAAGCCATTGGGTTTATGTAACTTAATGTTTAAATCATGTGATATCTTTATCAAACTATTTTAGTTGAGTGTTGTTTGAATGTTACTAATATCTAATGCACTATACTGAAGCATTAAAGATTCAGTGATGAAACCTTTAAAGTTACTGTACTGTATATTTCTTATATGTTTCTTATATTTCTTTAAGAAAAATTTGAGCTTATTTACCTATTAGAGTACAGAATGGAGATTTATCATATGCATTATTGCTGCTTTTTTAAAGAAAAGTTTTTCACTTTTCAAAGCTTTTCTACAAATTTTTTGCTTCTTATTTCTTATCATGAAATTGATGATATAGAGGTAATATAATCCAATAACTTTCTAATTTCTAAAAAGCTTTTAAGCTTCTAGCATAAAAGTACACTATAGGTATGTAATTCATTTGGTTTTATTGCCTTGCTATGACATATCTACTTGCACTTCATCATTCTTGTATGAACAAAACACCAGATGTGGATACTCAGAGAACAAAATGCACTACCAACTGCTTATGAAATTTATTATTGAGGTGAAGACTGTGTTAATCATTCAAATTATAGTGCACTTATATTGCAAATATAGGAAAAACAAAACAAAGTGAAAAAGTAAGATAGAAGTATTAAAACTACAAATGAATTATAAACACCATTGGAAGCATAAGTGTTTTGATGATTATTTGCATTTTGCCCAATTCATATATCAATACAACAAAATCAAAATGTGCTACAACTTCACAAGTATTTGATGCAGTTGCACTTCAGAACATCACAAAAAGGTTACTTAAAGTAATTTCTACACAATATTGTTTGTTTTCATTTACCAAACCTATGCAGACTTGAGTCTTTTTGAAATTTCATATGAAACTCAATTACAGAAAATCCGTAAATATCCAGAGATTTAATATGTACTTTTTTAAAGAAACAAGTAAAATCCTACAATTGTGGCGAAAAAGCCATTGCCCATTGCATGAAAAGAAGCAAAATAGCAATGATAACAAATAAGCTCTCGTGAACCGTGGAGATGAACTATGATATATGGACTAAAGAGTTTAATCGATCAAACAAATTTGACGCTGGTAAGAAAACGACGCACATCTGCATTCATACATGTGTAGCCGACATATAGGTCTTTCGTCGATAGTTATAAATGCATCCTCGTAGGAGCAGATAACTGACAACCACAGTTGACTCGCTGTTATGAATTTAAGGTTTTACCTTGATTTTCATCAAAAATTGCTTGCCGAATCCCAAATACATATACATTTTCCTCACTCTTTCCTCAGGAGGGAGTGGAAATTGTGAAATTTTCGGAAAAGCGGTCAATTTCGGTAAATCTCAGCGGCAACGGACGAAATCCGCCATGTTTTTTACAACATCCGATATCTAAGGCCGCGCTTGAGATAGCCGCTCCAGTTATTATAGAACTCAATGGTCACGATCATTGAGTTCTATAATAACTGGAGCGGCTATCTTTACTGGGGCGAGGTCGCCAAAAAAATGGCGGCCAACGGACGTATTTCCGCTGAAATGATCGCTTTGCAGAAAAATAATATTCTCGACCTCCCCCTGGTGTCTATAGTAAATTATAAAGAATTTTTCAAAAACAAACACGATATCACAGAATATGGATATCGTTAGTTCCATATTCTGTGACGATATCTTTTTTGGCATTTCTTTTATAATGCCAACACTTCAATCGTTCAATTGTTGGATGTCGTAGTTTCCACAAAAAGGAACATATCGCTTCTCACAGGTGAGGTAGTTGTTTGTTTGTTAGTCCGTCAACGATTGAAAAGCAATTATACATGCACTTGAAAAGCCATAAAATACATAATTTTTGATCATAATTTATCATCATTCCATAGATCGTAATTTTAAGACTGACTTGAACGCCAAATATACTGATGTTTTCCTGTTTTGTCTATAAAATTCTGCATACTTTTCTGTCATTTGTTAATGCATGAAATCGTAAAATTTACCTATCTATTTGCAAAATAGTTTCCTAAAACAAAAGACCCTGCACACATTTTGCTCTGTGAAAAGTATCAAGAAGAAATGATCAGCCCCAACAGTACCCATGATTTGGAGCAGAGCTTGTTATGTTCTATTTGCTGACAACATGCAGGGAAGACCAAAAGTAAAGATGACTGGAAGATGTTATTGACCAGGCAGAGTCTTAAAAAAGTGATAATGCTGTAAAGATAATTGATTTATTGTCTGCCTTATCCATAGTTATTTAATTTGATCATGGTCAAATTCTATGGATGGAGACAATGGATTCACTAATGATGCCTTGAATGCTTTGAAGTAAAAGTTCATGAACCAAAAAAAGATGGCAAGAAGGTTGTTTGTTTTTGATGCTTAATTAAATGTCAATTCACAACATATAAAATGGAAAGGCCATAAAGTTTGTGTCTATGTAAACATTTGTACTGAGATTGATGATGACTTGATGCAGATGTGAAGCATTAAACTGAATAAGCCATTGGTTTTATATAACATAATGTTTAAATCATGTCATATCTTTATCAAAATATTTTAGTTGAGTGTTGTTTAAATGTTACTAATATCTAATGCACTATACTAAAGCATTAAAGATTCAGTGATGAAACCTTTAAAATTACTGTACTGTATATCAAAATGTGCTACAACTTTACAAGTATTTGATGCAGTTGCACTTCAGAACATCACAAAAAGGTTACTTAAAGTAATTTCTATACAATATTGTTTGTTTTCATTTACCAAACCTATGCAGACTTGAGTCTTTTTGAAATTTCATGTGAAACTCAATTACAGAAAATCCGTAAATATCCAGAGATTTTATATGTACTTTTAAAAGAAACAAGTAAAATCCTACAATTGTGGCGAAAAGCCATTGCCCATTGCATGAAAAGAAGAAAATAGCAATGATAACAAATAAACTAACTTCTCTCTCGTGAACCGTGGAGATGAACTATGATATACTTTTTTGTATAGACTAAAGAGTTTAATCGATCAAACAAGTTTGACGCTGGTAAGAAAACGACGCATATCTGCATTCATAGATGTGTAGCCGACATATAGCTCTTTCGTCGATAGTTATAAATACATCCTCGTAGGAGCCGATAACTGGAAAGCTAGGTTGACTCGCTGTTACGAATTGTAGGTTTTTAACGTGATTTTCATCAAAAAATTGCTTGCCAAATCCCAAATACACACGTACATTTTCCTCACTTTTTCCTCAGGAGGGAGTGGGAAATTGTGAAATTTTCGGAAAAGCGGTCAATTTCGGTAAATCTCAGCGGCAAAGGACGAAATCCGCCATTTTTTTGGCGTCATCAGATATCTAAGGCCGCGCTTGAGATAGCCGCTCCAGTTATTATAGAACTCAATGGTCACGATCGTTTAATCATAGCATTCCAATTTCTATCCAATCGGCATGCACAAACGACGCACAGTTCACCTTATATGGACGTGAGTGCTTCAATGCTCAATCGATTCTCGTCAGTCATACGTTTTCATCATAAAATTAAAAGATAAATTCCTTGCCATTTTGAATGAAAACATTTTTTTGATTCTTTTAAATGTCTTGATTGTTTTGATTCTTTTGAGTTTTTAAAATGCTTTTTGATTAAAAGTATGATACCTTGTTTACTCAACCGAACAATCGTCCGCATGTTTACAAACGTAGAAACGGACTATATTATATAACTGTAGTTTTGTTTCCATTATTTCCTTTACAACATTTTGATAGAACCTTTTTTCCGATGATTCTGTGCGACTGCGATAAAATGATGTATAGTTATCGCAAAGAGCAAACGTTTCATCATATTCATAATTCATATTTCATGGTTGAACTCGCACCATGCGTTTAAATTATTTTTGACGTTTTGTTAAATCCACAGTTCGAAAATAAAAAAGCTCGAACGAAAATAAACACATGCTTACACTATATTTTGCTCACCGTCTGACCATAGAGCGCAAGATAAAAAATGTAAACCGAGCTGGCTAAATACGGCACGGTGAATCGATTTCATGTGTTTTTCGCCAAACGAGATATGTGTAATTGATGTCGGTAATCACTCGATTTTGGTATCTACTGTATAACGTTGTTTAGGCCGCATATCTATTCGGATTCCAGACATTTAAAATCAAAGAGAAACTGACAGGAGTTCCGAAAGGTTCTACCTTATTGTGATTGTTCTTCCCCCCTCATTCCGTAAAAATCCCCCCCGGAAATGTTAACAGACAGACACAAATCGAGATTTTACCTCTATATAGGTCGAGTAGAGGAATGGGCCGAGACATGTCAAGATTAGTGTGCTGCCACGCTGATGCGTGGCAGCAATTATGCATATTATGCAATCTCGATTGCAATTGGCTAAGAACCTACCTACACTGCTATAGGTGACATATCATATAATTGTTCATGCAAAATTGTAAATAAAAAAGTATAATGGCAGACTCTTGCTCGATATTTGCAAGCGTTTTGCAAACTTTTTTCGCTCGAATTATTGAGTATTAAGACATAAAAATAAACGGAATGGGTTAAATTGTCAGTGAGAATAGTTTTCATCGAGTATTTTCGGGAGAAAGACGAATGCGACACTGCGGACATTACGTCATTCAAGTGTGATAGTGTGATGTTGTGTGATGCATCACAATATTGCTTAAAGTAGCAAAAATATATTGCGCATCAGATGCAATTTTGCATGAACAATTATATAATATGTCACCTATAGCAGTGTAGCTAGGTTCTTAGCCAATTGCAATCGAGATTGCATAATAATAGTATTTCCATGACTTCTGACTGGGAAAAGCCAAAGTCATTTCTCACTGGATCACTGGGAAAGCCGAAATCATTTCTGACAACGGAAAGCTGAAAATATGTCGAAGCGCAGGCGTAACAATTGTCAATCGGTTGACGATTTGCGAAAAGATGTCAACGAGGAACTACATCAAGAATATGTGGGGTCGAGGATATTAAGTGATATCAATCTATTAATTTGAAAGTCTGCAATGATCTAAATGTTGATGTAATTCTATTTGTTCTTGTTTTGAAATATGGGTTGTCACTTGTGTGCTCTATTGCCAATGTTGTGTCTTCTTTGCTTGTACTCCCCGTAAATGTACGCCAAGAAGTGTTGGCTTTGGTATGTCCGAATTTAGAAGAAGAAGATGGAAATGTCCTTTACAGTCCGCTTCTAAATTAAAAGTTCCTAGTACAACCGATAGGAAGTTGCATGTATTTACACCTCCATGCTCCAAATATAGTGCAACCATGATCTCGTGAGCTACAATAAGCCAGTAAAAGTTCAGGTACACGATCTTTCTGGAACTACCGATGGAGTGAATGTTTCGCTTAGATGCAATCGCTGTAATTTGCTTTATGGATATTCCAAGTACGGTAATGGGAAAGATGGCTGGATGTTATATCCCGAGCAAAGAAAAATGATCGAGGCTACGGATGTCTGTTTTGTTGATTCAACTTTGCTTCAGTGGCAGCTGTCACTCGCGTAAGTTACAATATAATCACTTGATTAATTAATGTTAAAATAGCAAGTCGATTTTACAAATGAAACATGTTTTCTATAGTTGTCATTCGTGGGTATCATTTAACGGTTTTTTTGAAGCGTTTAATGAAGTATACAATGGCAGTAAGAGAACGATATGTTGTAGATCTGTATTACTGTTATCACGTTGTTACAGTTTTTGATGGTAAGCATTATTTGCGTTTTATATAAAGATTTTGGAGAGAAACAAGTTGCTGCTTCATTTTGGGTCGGCGAGATGGAGAATGAGTTGAGGGAATTGGGGCAACTGGACTTTTTTGGTTTGCTTAAAGAAGATGGGGACTCTTCTAGGGTTCTAGAACAAATAGACAAAATTAGGGCGAGAAGTTTGTACGAGCATACATCAGACGATTGTTCTGATACTTGCAAAGAGCGCGGTAAGTTAGATGCAATTGCATTTTAAAATTAGTTTAAAAGCTATAAATATATTCTATTGGAAAACAGCTGTGATTCTCATCAGGCTAAGATATTTTCGTAATGAAACTTATAGGATGTGGAAGGCTATGGGTTGCCGATGGAATATGGAAATTAATGTTTCCTCATTGCATGATGCTTAGAAAGGTACTTATCTTAGTTTGATATAACATTACTCCTTTGCTTTTCGTAACTTAATAATATTATATGAAATTGTTTTCAGAATTTTGTAAAAGGTATTCCATTGCTGAACTATCCCAATGTATGCACTGAGTGGCCTCAGCATGGAAAGGCATTCTGCGAACAGCATGTGCAATATTTGGAAAAAAACTTCCCTAATGTACCCACTAGTGTGCGTGGATTTTTAAGATATTGTGGTGTGAAGCCAAGTAACATAGGTATGTACTCCAAAATTGTCATGACTATAATCATGCTTGAGAATAAAGTCCGATTTTTCATGATCAATTCGAGATATAATATAAAACAAATTCCGAAGAAACAAGACATCTTGAGATTGCAAAATATGAATCAAAACAAGACGAGAAGTAAACTGTAAATTTTCGACTTTATTTCAAAGTCATCCTCAGACAGAATGATATATAAAACCATACATACACATATATATTTACAACGCATGAAACAAGTAAACGGAAATAAGCAATAGAAATTAAATAGTGCGATATTTACAATGAGTTGGAAGAGGTGTAGTATTACAAAAGGATGAATTGAAACTGCCGACCCGACTGGTAGAATGAGTGTGTTATAAATTAAGAAAAGAGTTGTAATTCTTTGCTAGCCTTAAGTCCCGTGTTGAGAAAAGGTTTGTTATGTTTAATGAGTAGTGCTTCAAGAAAAGCAAGAATGTGGTAGTTGTTAGATTTGGTTGAGTGAAGTATTTTATAGTTGTTGAATACAAGGTTTTCTATAGGAGAGGGAGTTCTGGGAGGTGGAGGGAGATCATTTAGTTGTGAGAACTGGTTTTGTAGAGTCGTCAGGAATTGAGCGTTTTCGCACTCAGAGAAATGCTGGCAAAAGCACTAGAAGAGAGTCTGGTTGCATGTTCTCTGAGCCGTACAGACAGGCATCTTTGTGTCATGCCGATGTAGGTTTTACCACAGCCAGGGCAATTTATTTCGTATATAAGATTACTGCGAAAGTGAAGGAAGTTTGTCTTTGTTAGAGACAAAATAGGACAGTTTTTTAGTATCATAAATAGTAATAAATTTCACCGGTTAAGAAAGATGTTTTGTATTTTCTTAAAACAGGATTTTAAGAGAAAATCGCCACACATGCCAAGATAAGGAATACGAACCCAGATTTTAGGTAGATTATCATCTATAGAAGAGCGGTTATCAATAGAAATAGAATCATTGCTCTACCATGTAAACCATGTGCTCTACCAAATTGTGCTGTAACAGGTTTAAGAGAGTCAAATTGTTCGTCAGTAATTTCACCACGTTTGTTAAGTTTACGAAGGTAGTTTTGAAGAGAATGAAGTCTGGTTAGTGTCGGGTCGTGATTTAATTTCTTAAACTTAGAGGGGTTAGAGAAGAGGGATTCAACAGAAGATATATAATCAGAGCGGTTTATAAGTACGATGCCATTTCCCTTGTCAGGCTTGAGAATGGCAAATGTTTCGGTTCTCACAACTAAATGATCTCCTCCACCTTCCAGAACTCCTCTAGAAAACCTTGTATTCAACAACTATAAAATACTTCACTCAACCAAATCTAATAACCCACATTCTTTTTTCTTGAAGCACTACTCATTAAACATAACAAACCTTTTCTCAGCACGGGACTTAAGGCTAGCAAAACAACTCTTTTCTTAATTTATAACACACTCATTCTACCAGTCGGGTCGGCAGTTTCAATTCATCCTTTGTAATACTACACCTCTTCCAACTCATTGTAAATATCGCACTATTTAATTTCTATTGCTTATTTCCGTTTACTTGTTTCATGCGTTGTAAATATATATGTATGTATGGTTTTATATATCATTCTGTCTGAGGATGACTTTGAAATAAAGTCGAAAATTTACTTCTCGTCTTGTTTTGATTCATATTTTGCAATCTCAAGATGTCTTGTTTCTTCGGAATTTGTTTTATATTATACTTCTTTAAATTGTCGGCTGGTCATGGTTTTTAATTCGAGATATATTAACAGAGCTTTTACACTTAATCACAACTGCTCTTGCTTTGGTATATAGTATTTTGCAGGGAAATTGGTACCCCTTTCTCTAAATTTATCTCAAGGATATGTGTATTACAGAGCTGACAGAAAATTACTACAAAGAATTACTCTATTTTATAAGTGAAGAATTGATTGACGACACAGGTCTCCTTTCTAACAATGACGTGTCAAAAATGGACGAAACACTGGGAGAGCTTGATAAAGATGACGACACTTTTCCAGTAGGAAATAGTGTTGTGGATCTAAGGTATATTTGTCTAAAATTTGTTTACTTCGCAATATGAAAACAGTTTTACATTGTACCTAATATAGTAATATATATCAGTGAAACCTAAGTTTTCCTACTAACGTAAAAGTGGTCTTTAATGACAGTGTGTTATAAAAGCAGGTTTGTGAATGACGGCATGAATTTGAATTTTTTTTACCTCATCCATATTATATATATGATGAAATTTCAATACATTGGTACCGATAATTAAAACTTATTATTTTTAAAGTGCTACTGAAGTGAAATTTTGGGTATCGATTTTTTCTATAATCAAATAGTTCTATCTTTCCTGATCACTTTGGTATAATTTTATGCATATTGAAGCACGGGATCATCAATAAATTTTTGCTCAAAGTTGGGTTACGCGTGCGAATTTTTACTACTGAAATATTATACGGATGTGACGTAATTAAAAGGACGGAAGTCGAAGTATGAGCATTGATTTACTTGTATTTTGTTAGATTTTTAACACATATACACAATAAATATGAGTTCTTCAAGCAGTGAAAGCGAACGCAGTTCGGATACTGAAAACTCAGATATGGCAAATGAAAATTTACTTTCGAATTCCGGCGATGAGGATACAATTGTGGCTAATTCAGTTGTGGTACGAAAATGAACCTCTTGCGAACGCAGTCGGAGAGAATTTTGTGTCGGTCGAAGAAGACGCAGATGGCTTAGAACCTCGAACATTGGAAGCGAGGTTCGAAGGAACCGTTCAGTTAGATAAGTGGTAAGTTGATAAATGTTATTAGAGCTCTAGAAGAAATTAAACCATGAATTAAACATGTTATTTTGTCCTTATGTCGTGGTGCATAAATGTGATAACCACTTTTATAGGTGTGCATGTAGCTTGTGTCATACTCAACTGCTGACAGATGCCATTGAATACCGTTGTTGTCAAGAGGTTGGGCCTACTTTACATAAACTGGTATTCGGTGGTAGCATGAAAATTTAGCTGTGTTACTCTTCACGAAGAGTACACGATTATGACACATGCTACAGTCTTGAAGAATGTTGGCTCACTTCTGAGAGACCAAGATGGAAGGTCATACAAGCGTCGTAGAATACATGAAAATGAGTTAGTACATTTTTGATTTCTAATTTTGTTTTGTAATGAATGATTAATATCTTGCCATGTATCTCTACTTTTTACCTTTATGTGGTTCATTATTGTGCTGTGATGCTTCACAATTTTGTTGTGTGAAGTCAAAGTAAATAATCAAATAGAAATTACTATTTTGAATTTCTCATAGATACTTGAGAGCAGTTGCATACCGTTGGGTCATTCGATGGCTGTGTGGATGCCTTGGTTGGGAAAATTCTAGACCATTACCTGCATGTATCTACACAGACATCCGAAAACGATTTCCATTATGAAATCCCCTAGGCCAAGAACATGTTGGCTACAAGTCGTCAGCACAGGAAAGAAACTGATAGAAGTAGGAAACATTTTTTGTAGCATAGTATATTATTTTATAACTAACTTTAAAGTTGGCCTGCCAAGAATATTTGTCAAGTAATTCTTGTGGACAATGACTTTTTGGATGTCCTTTCATTGGCTGTCCACAATTTTTGCATAAGCACGTTTTTTTGGATCTGAAGGACCTGTTGAAGCAGCTTGTTTTTCTTTGTCTAAACCTTTTTTTGCAGTACATCTTGCTGTTGATCTATAAATAACAATTTAATGTGTTTACTTTTAGAATGCACTGGCCATACCTATTATACATGCTAGCATGAACAACTTACATGTGGGAAACAATGGTGTTGAAGAAAGTTGTTTCCTATCCAACTGCCGTTGGATTGCTTCAGTTTTGGAAATTCGATCCGAGAAAGTTTTGTTTAAGGCTTCTGGGACTTTTTCCTTATACTTCTTAAATATGTTGTCCATGGATTCGTCACAACTAAGAACCATGACATTTTTGATTTCATTAACATAGTCTGGAAAAATGACAAGTGGTTAGATGTGTAAGTCAAGAGTACCAATGCATACATGCTAAACTTACAATATGATGGTGCTGAAGAAACAGTTCTTACTACTTCATCCCCTGATTTAAATTTTGGGTATGTCACAGAATAATATGGTGTTCCATTTTTGTTTTTTTTGGCTGTCTGTGGAGGTTTTCATTGAAATGAAGTACTGCCAGTACGTGCCTAAACAGAACAAACCATTTACTACGTAATTTTTTTTCTTGACTAGGAACAAGTAAAAAAGCCTTGGCAGATAGAGAACAGTGATTACAAGTTACCTGCAATATGTACCAAGCCAAGAAAAGTGGGTCATCTTTGGATGCCAACCATTTAATGTTGAATGAAAACCTTCGTGACAACTAGTTTGTGCTTCTGAAGATAGTTTTTTAACATCTTTGAGAACAGATTTTGTTCAACAGAATTGAGGAAAGTCGCTGATATGATTTAGTTCCTTAAAAAGAATACAATCCCATCTGAAAAGTGGTAAATAACATTTTAGACATTTTAAAAATCTCACAGCCTTTTTCTTTACTAGTCTTTAATATTGTTTTGGAAAGTCCTTTGCAAACATGCCACAAATCATTGAAGTGCTGGGTTTCCTTCTCAGATGTTCGAATCCACTTTGCAATCCCTTTGTGACAATCGCTAATAAATATTGGAATTTGTAGTCCACTATCTTGAAGAAACTTGAAGCATCTTTGAGCTCCATCCAACTCCATGGCATTGCTACTACCAGACCGATTTGACTATACGAAAGGTAATGAAGTTTATGTAAAAACTATAATATTATTTTTGAGATCTTGTTCAAGTAAAATGAACTGATTATCTCAAATATACATGAAAATATTTGTTTATTATTTGAAAAAAATATTATGACTACCTGTCTGATGTCAAAATGAACTATTTTGGAAATACTGTTACAGTATTTTTTACTAGTATTGAGTTGCGTGGTTCATTCGACCTTCATTTCTTTAAAATTTCAATTTATCACTTTATTTTTATTTTATTTTTATGTTAAGTTATGTTTTATTTTATCATTTCATTGCGCTTCAATTAACCTGTTTTGACTATTAATGTTCATTCGAAAATCACCCCCCCCCATTACCCCCCTGCTAGGTATCGTCGATTAATCGAATTGTCTCATCTCTAAATATAATCAAGCATTCCTTTGAACAATTTCATCACAATTCCTAGTTTTTTCAACAAGTTATATTGAATAAAAACATACAACATTAGTATTAAAAAATCAAGTTTCATTAAACGTTCAATTAAAATATGTACATATATGCCAGTTAGTGATCACTTGCTGTTAGTTCCTCCGCAACTTCGACAGAACCTTAACTATTACTATATGTAACTAATGTCTAATTATTTTACCAAGGATCGGTGTCTGGTACAGGTTTAAGTTTCAAACAGAATCAAGAGACCATGTCGTTATAACTGTTTCCTGGACATTAAAAAATTGAAAGAATACCTTCTACATGTCAATGGTGCCTTAACTCAAATTGATATACTCCTGCAATTTACAAAACTTTATAGCTTATTTTAAACTGTGATGCAATCTTTCTTATTTAGAGGGAATTACATACTGAATACTTTTCTCTTTTAATTGACAGGAAAAATCAAAATTATTGGCGGACTGAATTAAATTTCTTTTATATTGGTTATATTACACATAATTTGAACATATCTTTCAAATACATACATAAGCTCTAACATCATGAATATTTTCTTTTGATCAAATTTTTAATATTAGCTAAAACCCAAGCTAGCACTATGATAATGTACAAAAAAGATGTTTGCAAATCAATGCAGGAATATGAAGCTTAATGTTGATTGCTGAACTAGTCAAATTGATAAGTATACATGCATGAAAAAGCATTCTTTTAAATTAGACGAAATCTCTGAGGGTAAATGTTGAACAAATAGATGAGTGTAAGTAGGAATTGTTTCAAAATCTCAAGTGCACAAATAAAACACTGAAAGTATTTTTATGCTTTTACACTGAGAGTGTTAAACGTCCATCAAGTGAAGTACTCCATTTGAATTTCCTTTATATAGGTCATAGTGCAAAAGTGTCACATGTTAACGAAAACATGCACCAGCTATAAATAACATGAATATTTTATGCCTTTTCATTATTGAACAATTGTCAATAAATGCATGGACAAGATAACGGAAGATGCATTATGATGCATCTTTAAAAACTGTTGAACTTTATTACTGTGGCTGGAAAAACATCATTTTAAGGAAAAAAAACACTTAAGTATAAAACGTTAAGATGACTGAAAATTATATAAAAACTTGAAGTAACTACAAAGAGATTGGCTGTAAAACAAAGCCTTTTTTCTGCATGACATACTTATCAATGTGACTAGTTCGACAATCAACATTAATGTCAATATATTAAAAATCTGATCAAAACTAATTCTATTTCGTCATTGGACTACGTCACTAAGGAGTCATGTGAGATATGCGCACGCAGATCGAGGAATCAGTTGCCTGCGTAGTCTTTGAGCGAACGGTTGTTTTTATCGAATAAAATCTCAACAAAGGAGCGAAAATCATGGCATCAGATGACGAATTGGAAAGACGGCTATTGGAAGAAGAGCCAAGCGGTATGAAAGAAGCGACACCACCAGGGATAGCAATGCCAGAAGTGTTGGCTAGTCTCGTCCACAAAGTAGAGAAAATGTCAAGCAAAATCATCAACATGGACAGTTCCATTAAACGGTTGCAGTCCGACAGTCAGGATCCTTGCTTGAACGAAGGACCAAGCAAAAAACGATGTGTAACTTCACTAATGGAAATAGACAAAGGTTACACTGACGGTGATGCAGAAGGATTGCATCGAGAAAGTGAAGCTGATGCCGACTCGGCAAATGAAGGTAGTATAAGCGCCACATGTGTTCGACGCGAACATGACGCTCTGCTACAAGAAATCTCGCACGACTTGGAGCAAGAAGAGGAGGTTGGCGACAATATAAACCAGCAACTTGCTGATATTGTCAACAAACGATGGTCAAACAAGCTCCCAGAAGCAAAACAAAAAGAAAAAATGGAAAAGTATTCAAGACCAAGTAATTTTGAAAAATTTATTGTCCCTCGCGTTAACGCTGAGATATGGGACAAGCTTGACAATAAGACCAAGCACAGCGACCTTCGCACTGCGAACACGCAGAAAACAATAGCGAAGGTTGGCGCCGTACTGTCTTTCACGACAGACAAATTGCTACAAATACGTAGTAAAGAATCACCAGACGTTGATAAACTGATCACAATGAATACCGATGCCTTGGCACTTCTTGGCCACACAATGTGTGAACTATCAATGCGTCGACGCGACGCTATTAGGCCAAATTTAAACAAGGATTATAGCAGCCTTTGTGCATCACATGTGCCAGTAACGACTTACTTGTTTGGGGATAACCTTCAAACACAACTAAATGATATTAGGGCATCGAACAAGATCAGCAAGGCAACAGTGCCTCAAAGGTTTGATAAGGTCAGGCAGTATGGCCGCCCTCACTCTCATGGTACCAACAATTCCTCCTCACAGGAAAACCAAGAAAGAACCATTTTTATCCAACAATCTGAATTGGAAGAAACACCCACCAAGGTCGACATACCCATCGAAAAAGCCATCAACCTTTCCAGTCAAGCAGCAACAATACCAGTAATGGCCAATAGTGAAAGAAACAAAAATATCATGACAAACTTACAGGTCAGTACTTTAGAGAGAGACTTGCCTTTATTAGTGAGGTATTTACACTCACGAGTGAAACGGTTTCAAGCAGGCCAGTTAAGTCACAAACTTTGTGAATGGCGCAAACTTACCTCTGATTCAGAGGTTTTACATACAGTCTTGGGTGAGGAGATTAAATTTAACGCTTTACCTCACCAACTACATGCACCAAAACCCAATACATTCACAACATTCGAGAATGGTTGTGTTGCACAGGAAATAAAAAAGCTGTTTGCAAAGGGTGTCATAGTTGAATCGGCTCATGAGGCAAATGAATTTATTTCATCCATTTTCTTAAGACCAAAACCTGATGGGTCTCATAGAATGATATTAAATCTCAAAAGTTTAAATAAGTATGTGGTATATAGGCACTTCAAAATGGACTCCATTTGGAATGCTATTAGTCTAATGAAACCAAACTGCTACATGGCATCAGTTGATCTAAAAGATGCCTATTATTCAGTACGTATCTGTGCTGAACATCAGAAATATTTAAAATTCGATTGGAATGGTAAATTATATAAATTTACTTGCTTCCTAATGGGTTAGCATAAGCACCAAGAAAATTCACAAAATTGCTTAAGCCTGTGTACTCATCATTACGGAAAAAGGGTCATATATCATCACCTTATATTGATGATTCCATTTTGATAGGTGATAACTTTAATGACTGTGCAGCAAACATTGTTGAGACAGTTAAAGTTTTAGACAACTTAAATTTTGTCACTCACCCTGAAAAATCTGTGTTAATACCAACACAAAAAATTGTATTTCTTGGTTTTATTCTAAATTCAATAACTATGACGGTTTCTTTGACACCAGAAAAAGCAAAGAAGGTAAAATTGGCTGTTACCCAGCTACACTCTTGTAGGATACCTCAAATAAGAGAGGTTGCCCAGGTTATTGGGTTTATTATCTCTACATTTGCAGGGGCAATGTATGGGCCCTTATATTTTCGGATTACAGAGGGTGAGAAAGCGGAAGCCCTAAAACAATGTAAGGGAAATTATGATACTCACATGCAGTTATCCTCTAGCGCAAAAAGGAGCTGGAATGGTGGATAAACAATGTAGAAAGATCAAACAATCTGATCTCTAGACCAGAGCCGCATGTAACTATGTCCACAGATGCATCTAAAGTGGGCTGGGGGTGTGCTATAAATAACATTAAAACTGGAGGGCTCTGGACTCAGGAAGAGAGTAAATCTCATATTAACTATTTAGAAATGCTGGCAATGTATTTTGGTCTCAAGTCACACCAAAAATCTATTACGAAAATGCATGTAAAAGTACTAGTTGATAACACTACGGTTCAAAATACCCTAAAGAAAATGGGAACAAGTCACTCTCCATTATTGAACAGTCTTATCAAAACTATATGGGACTGGTGCATTGTTAATGAGGTTTGGATCACAGTTGCCCGTATTCCTGGCAAGGAGAATGTCGATGCAGACAGGGAATCTCGGAAGGCCAGATGGCTATCTCGAGATGGCTTAAAACAATCTTAAAGCTGGCCGGAATAAATGATTTTTCTGGCTACAGCACAGGAGCAGCATCCTCGTCAGCTGCAAACAAAGCATCCATATCAATTGAGGCAATTATGGAAGCAGCTGGGTGGTCTAATGCTTCAACATTTCAAAATTATTATAATAAGCCATTAAAAACAAAAACCGACTTCGGTTGTTCATTATTACATGCTTCCAATGACTAAGCACGAATTTTTTAATAGTGAGAAGTATAGTTATATGTGTTGTTGAAAAAATTGTCAATACATTTGGGATTATGTTAAAGCTCGTGATCACAACACTTTGAATATCTCACATGACTCCTTAGTGACGTAGTCCAATGACGAAATAGAATTTAAAAATTAAACGAGACTTACCTGTAAGTTGAAGTTTGATTGTAATTCTATGAGTTATTGGACAAGGAAACTAAGGAGTCACCATTATATTGGAGGGATGTTTAGTGTAAAAATCTTTTGCACCCGCCCTAAATGGTGAATGCTGTTGAAATCACTCGCAGCGTTGAAAACTGATTCCTCGATCTGCGTGCGCATATCTCACATGACTCCTTAGTTTCCTTGTCCAATAACTCATAGAATTACAATCAAACTTCAACTTACAGGTAAGTCTCGTTTAATTTTAAATTATTCAATCTAGGACATGTTTTAAATCTAGGACATGTTTTTTTAAAAAATAAGTTCAAATTATGTACAATATGACCAACATAAAAGAAATTTGATTCATTCTGCCTATAATTTTGATTTTTTTGTTCAATTAAAAGCAATGTGTACGAGAAAGATGTTCAGTATATAATTCACCCAACTAAGAAATATTGCATCACACTTGAAAACAACGTAATGAATTTTTACGTCAAATCGAGACTTGATCAGTGTACGACGTTCAATATAATGTACGTCATGCAGTCTTCCGCTCATTGTCTTGATTGTTTTCAGCCAATTAGAGACCTCATCTTTTTTTACGAGGGGCGTAACACGAAAAATTCCTTAGCATATATATAGAGAGGCGTTTCAACATATCTTTCATTCGGTACATCTTCATTACCAACTCTGGTAAGCTATAAACTAGGCAGGAATATGGCTTCAGACTGTGAATTTGAAATTCAAGAAAAAACAATGGGAATTCGTGTGAGGAGAAAAAATGGAGAATCGGAGTATGTTGAAAAAACTAGTTTTTCGATGTCATTGCTGAAACACATTGACGCAGGCGATGACAGTGGCTTTCAATGTCGCGTATATTGCTCATTGCGTGAAGAGTCCAGGTAAGTCAAGAATTTTTTGTCTTCTTATTTTTCATATTGTCATTGTTGTTCATCATTTTCATGCAGAGCAAAAATGTGTGTGTGTGTTTAGGTTGTGTTTCTACGGTGGCCGGTACGGGTCACCAGAAAAATAATTTAGAAAACATGACAAATAATACGAAAACATCACTCAAAATCATACTACACATTTCAAAATACTCACTACACATTTCAAAATACTCGCTACACATTTCAAAATACTCACTACACATTTCAAAATACTCTACACATTTCAAAATACTCACTACACATTTCAAAATACTCGCTACACATTTCAAAATACTCACTACACATTTCAAAATACTCACTACACATTGCAAAATACTCACTACACATTTCAAAATACTCGCTACACATTTCAAAATACTCACTACACATTTCAAAATACTCACTACACTTTTCAAAATACTCACTACACATTTCAAAATACACATTTCAAAATACTCGCTACATTTCAAAATAGTCACTACACATTCGTCCCAGTCTTAAGGCTCTTTTCCACTCATCGCAAAATGCTCTCGCTGCGAGCTTGCGATGAGTATCAGCTCGCGCTGCCAATTTCCACTCTTTGCTTTGCTTCATAATATATTACATGGCGGTTTGTTTTTGCTTACAATATGGCGGCCGTTGTCAATCGCCGTATTTTGTTATTACTGTATTTTAAGACGTCGTATGCGAAGATGCAAGAAGTATAGAAAGCGTTTTTGGGTTAGGCCGATATTCGAACGACGACAACAGCATGGGGAATACTTCAGATTAGTAAAAGAAATGAAAGAAGAAGATCACGAAAGCTATTTCGCCTACTTCAGAATGCTCCCTCGACATTTTGATTTTTTACTGTCTCTGGTCGCGCCTCTTATCTCTAAATGCAGCACAAGAAGGGATGCTATTTCTCCGTCGGAAAGGCTTGCTTTGACTTTACGTTATTTGGCGTCGGGTGACAGCCCTCAAAGCTTATCATTCAGCTACAGGATTGGTTTGACAACAGTACATAAAATAATTGGTGAAGTTACAGAAGCAATTTGGTCTACTCTCTTTAAGAAAGGTATATTAAAGCTCCAGAGAGTTCTTTTGAGTGGGAGAAAGTAGCAGAAGAGTTCGAAAAAAGGTGGAACTTTCCTCACTGTTGTGGAGCAATGGATGGAAAGCACATTAGAATGCAAGCTCTCCCATCAGCTGGTAGCAGATATTTCAACTATAAACTGTGGCATAGTATTGTCCTACTTGCAGTTGTATCAGCTGATTACACTTTTCTCTTGGTTGATGTCGGTGATTGTGGTCGTCATAGTGACGGTGGTGTTCTGCAGAATTCCCAGTTTGGTGAAGCACTAGTAACAAATCAACTAGGGCCCCGTCCACACCAGTGGCGTGCGGTCATGCAAGCGTAGGCAAGCGCCGCTTGCCTAAGCATTTTACCGAACAAAAATTTTTTGGATCAATCTCTGAGCAAAATCAGTTTAAATTTTTCTGTTCTAAACAATGTCAATGTAATCTTTTGTCTAAATTGTCTTTACAGTTGAAATGCTTGCTATTTATACGCGATTTACTGTCGTGGTTTTCGGTTTCACTTTGCTACACTTGTAAGATGAGTCAAGTGTATTAAATTAAGTGGATTAAATTAATTATTTATTAACCAAGGCAAGCGCGCTTGCCTTCGGAACTCAATTTGAACATTTGCGCATGCGTTAATCTAGATTTGGAGGCTTCTTATTCGAGGAATATCGAGAAAAGGCAAGCGGCGCCTCTAAGGGCGCCGCTTGATAGCGATTGGTCAACAGTCTTGTACGCTCGCAATTTTAAACACATATCAGCGCACGAATAATATTCGTATATTCAACACATTGGACATCCGAATTATTCACGCCGTTAATGTTATCGTTTATTAAAAGATGACTGAGAGCGAAAGGTAATGTTCTGATTTCTAATTCAAAGTAGTAGTAGATTTCTAATTTATGTATGTAGAAGATATTATCTGTAGCATGTTATACTTTAGCGTTATATAAGTCTTGCGTATGAGCTCTGAACGTGATTTCAATGTACTAGAACGCTATTAAATTTTGTGATTATTTTATTCACTAGCAAAGAAGTTATTTACAACAGTCGTGAGTATTCTATATGTTAGAATTTATTTACAGGCTTTTATATATTTTGATAAACAAGGTGCAGTTATTACACAGCGGATAATGTACTTGAAATTTGAGTAGTTTTACGTAATTATAAAGTTAAGTGCGTAAGTTTAAGTAGCGCGTTTGAGTAAGTGTAGGATTGGCTATTTCCTCTATTGCTAATACATGAATCTAGATGAGTAATGTACGCACGTTATGTACGTCACTACAAGATATCATGTAACTGATGTAAGGTATAAATAAGATTGATGTTCCTATAAAATATATAGCATAGGAATTTTCATCCTTTTATGTTCTACTTCTACAATTCGGTATTTTCACGACACCTGTACAACATGACTGAATGCATTGTGGAATCACTGTTATCCCGCTCATTTGGATTGAGACCTTTTCCGAGAAACGAGAGATCGTCGAAGGTGGCCGTCCCACTCCTGAGTTGCAAGGACTACATACAACATCCAAGCGAAGTGGTAAAGTCTTTATTCGAAGTTTTCAGACGTCAAATTACGACAAGTACAAATGGCTGGCTGGCTCCTCAAAATTGAATAAGTTATTTTGCTGGCCGTGTCTTTTGTTCAACTCAACAGACAAGACAGTCTGGTGCAAGAAGGGGTACGATGATTTGGCCAACCTGTGTAATGCCGTCAACAGACACGAGAAAACGAAGACACACTTGTCCAGTTGCCTAATGAATGCCAGTTTTGGGCGTACACGCATCGACATGCAGCTAGACGAACAGGCCCGTCAACACATCTCAGCTCACAACTTGATGGTGCACAAGAATAGAGAAGTACTTCGCCGTTTCATTGATGTTGTTTGCTTTCTTGGCAAACAGGAACTTTCTTTCAGAGGTCGGGTGGAGCTGGAGGAGTCTGCCAACAGGGGCAATTACGTCGAATTGATAAAACTGCTAAGTGCATATGACCCCACGCTTGAACAGCATCTTCATACAGCAACCGTGTTTTCTGGACTTTCTAATCGTATCCAGAACGATTTGATTGTTGCTGTCAAGGACGTTATGTTGAAAGCAATAAAAGATGAAGTGATGAGGAGCCCATTTGTCGCTATTTCCCTGGATGAAACCTCCGACGTTAAGACCTTATCGCAGCTAACAACTATAGTTCGCTATGTCAACCCAGATGGTAAAGCTGTGGAGCGCTTTCTTGGATTTACCGATGTAAGTGAGGATAGAACTGCGGCTAGACTGAAACAAGAAGTCGGTAAAACCCTGAACGAGTACGGATGCGGCGAAAAACTGATTGCCCAAACGTATGACGGTGCGAGTGTGATGTCAGGAGAACTGTCCGGTTTGCAAACACGAGTAAGAGAAGACTATCTACATGCTCTTTTTATCCACTGTTGCGGACACGCATTAAATTTGGTCCTTATTCAAGCTGTCTCGTCAACTAAAGAGTGTCGTATATTTTTTAAAACCGTCACTGGTCTTTCATCCTTTTTTCACGCCTCGTCCAAGAGAACATACCTGTTGGACACAGTTGTCGGCAGACGCATTCCCACTGGAACAGCTGTTCGATGGCACTATCAGAGCAGGTTAATCCATGCTGTACTGGAGACAAGAGCAAAGCTGCTCGAAGTTTTCGAATACATCATCGAAAATGATGACGAGTTTGACGGTACGACGTTAAACGAAGCGAGGGGCTACTGACAAGTTCTTGCAGATTTCCAGTTTGTGTTCTGCCTTAAAATATTTTCAGAAATATTTGGTCTTACGGATGTTTTGTATAATATCATTCAGAGTAAGCAGTTCGATATTGTCTTCTGTGTCACGAAAGTTCGCGAGACGAAAGATAAGATTCAAGAACAACGAACAAAATTCGTAGATTATTGGAATTTTACGTCAAGTATCGTCAAAGTAGCACTGAAACGCGGGCAAAGTGAAGAGGATGTAAAGGCGTCCTTCCGTCAAATGTTTTTCTGTGTAGTCGATACCATTGTCGTGCAGATTGACTCTAGATTCGAAAGTCTTAACAGCAGAGCATTCGTTTCTTTGTTGGAACATTCAAAGCACGAATTGTACAGCCGGAATTTTCCCGAACGAGAGCTGCAATCGTTGCAAGATTCATATGGAGCATTCTTTAATCTTCAAGCACTAAAAAGTGAACTAATCGTTGTATACGCATCTGCCGAGCTCAAATCGAAACCTGTTTTTGATATGATATCAAAAATAATCGAACTTGACTTGAAAGCCTGTTTTCCAGAGGTGTACCGATTGTGTCAGCTCATTCTTACTATGCCAAGTACGTCCTCCTCTGCAGAAAGATCATTTTCGGCTCTCAAGCGTATCAAAACGTATCTTCGCAGTACACAAGGGCAAGAGCGACTTTCTGCATTGGCTACAATTTCAATCGAGAAGGAGATGTTGGTAAGTTTGCAGGGGAAGCCACGATTCTATGAGGACGTTATAAAGGAGTTTTGCGCAAAGGAAAGACGGATGGAATTTACATTTAAGTAAATCTGTTGTAGGATTTTGGACTATTTCGTTCTGTTACTTCTTCACTACAATAGAAATGCACGCGTAGCCATTTACTTAAAACGACTTTATATCACAATACCACAGGTAATACTTTTAAACCGTAATTGTGATATATAGTTTTTGAATTTTTTAGATTTTTTCAATACTGTTTCAGTCATGACAGATACATTTTTTCGACAAAGTACTCCCAGAAATCGCGGGAAATGCGCTCCAGTAGCCTTCAAAATCCAAAATTTTCTGGGGAGCATGCCCCAGAACCCTAGATAGCTTCGCGGCATGCCGCGAACCTCACCAGCGCTTGCCTATTAAATTCGGTCACCGCACGCCACTGCTTTCATTTCATATGTAATTTTAAAAAATATGATGTAATGAGACTCTAAAAAATTATTATCATTTTCATATTTTTGTTAAATATATGGAAGAAATGGAGCAGACTTCTTATATCTCTTTATCATTACATTTAAATTTGAAACAAAAGGCATCATTACACTGATGAGTATGGGCTTTCTTTTCATTAAAAATTTAAAGCAAATATGATTTAAAAAGACTCCTTAAAAATTATTTACAATTTAGCATTTGTGTGAAATATAAGAAAAAACTGCAAAATACTTTTTCTTATATTTCATTATCCGTACATTCTTTTAAGTGTAAACTAATACAGTCCAATGACCATCGGATTTCATAAGGTCATACTTTATGTATATATAGCAAATTAGATGTATTGTAAATTTCTTCCTAATAACATGTCTTCTTATTAAACGGTTTGTGTGATCATCATTGAAAGAATCTTAAGCAATCCTCCATCTATTTACATTTGGCGACCTCAATAGGTTATGGGCCCAGGTCACGAATGGATTTCGATGGAGACGAAATATGAACTTTGGGAGACAAAGTTTATGGGATATCTTCATATTTTAAAGTTGAAAGATACCGTCGAAAGCGCCGAACCCAATGACGCAAAAAGCCGACGTTTATCTGGAATTAATCGAAGTTCTGGACGATCGATCACTTTCTCTAGTCATGAGAGATGCCAAGGATTACCGGAAGAAAGCAATCAAGATCCTAAGGGAACATTACAGGTCAAGCAGTAAACCAAAACTCATCACGCTTTACACAGAGTTGACCACGCTGTATTAAGGGGAAGCAGAAAGCGTGACTGACTACATGCTCCGAGCGGAGGCGGCCGTAGCAGCACTGAGGGATGCAGAAGAAGTTAGTGATGCTTTACTAATAGCAATAATTGTTAAGGGGCTTCCATGGGCATCAAAGCAAATGAATGATATCGCGACATAAAAATATATGTCTCATGTCCTTTAAAATTAGTTACATTTTCACAATTTTAAATGAATATATGATCGTTGCACTTTGCTGGACAATTTAAGCAATCGTCTCAAATAAAAAATTATTTAGAATTTAACATATATGTTAAATATAAGCAAAAATTGCAAGTTACTTTTTCTTATATCTCGTTATCGAAACATTCAAATTTTAAACAAAAGGCACCATCACATTGATACTATTATGGGCTTTCTTTTCATGTATAATTTTAAGCAAATATATTTAAAGAAGATTCTTTTAAAAATTATTTACATTTTTACACTTTGTTAAATATATGGATGATATGGAAAGTACTTTTTCTTTTGTCTCTGGATCATTACATTAAAATTTTTAAGCAAAAGGTACCATCACACTAATAAGATTATGGGCTTTCTTTTCAAATGTATTTTAAGTAAAATATGTATTAATATGTTTCTTTTAAGATTATTTATATTTTTCTTAAATATCAGGAAGAAATGAAGCTTTCTTCTTCTTATATCTCTTTATTATTACATTGACATTTAAAACAAAAGGAACCATTACACTGATAAGAGTATAAGCAAATATGATTTAAACAAACTTATTAAAAAAGTATTTACAATTTAGCATTTGTGTTAAATATAAGCAAAAAATGTAAAATACTTTTTCTTATATCTTGTTATCTTTACAATTCAAATTTTAAACAAAAGGTACCATCACCTTAATGAAATTATTGGCTTTCTTGTCATACGTAATTTAAATAAAATATGAGGAATTAAGAATTTTGAACAAAAGGTACTATCACACTGATGAGATTATGGGCCTTCTTTTCATGTGTACTTTAAATAAAATGTAATAACACTGATGAGAGTATTGGCTTTGTTTTTATACAAAATTTAAAGCAAATACGATTTAAAAAACTCTTTAAAAATTGTTTACAATTTAGCAATTGTGTTAAATATAAGTAAAAAATGCAAAATACTTTTTCTTTTATCTCATTATCGTTACAATTCAAATTTTAAAGAAGAAGTAACATCACGAAAATGAGATTATGGGCTTTATTTTATATGTAGTTTAAATGAAATATGAGTAATAAAGACTCTTTAAAAATTATTTACATTTTCCCATTTTTGTAAAATATACAGAAGAAATGGAGCTGACTTTTTCTTATATCTCTTTATCATTACATTTAAATTTGAAACAAAAGGCACTATTACACTGATGAGAGAATGGGCTTTTTTTCCATATAATATTTTAAGCAAATATTAAAAAAAAACATTACGAATTAGCACATGTGTTAAATATAAGCAAAAAATGCAAGTTACTTTTTCTTATATCTTGTTATCGAAACATTCAAATTTTAAGCAATAGGTACCATCACACTGATAAGATTATGGGCTTTCGTTTCATATGTAATTTAAAGCAAATATGTTTTAATAAGATCTTTTAAAATGTATTTAACTTTTGACATTTTCGTTGAAGATACGGAAGAAAAGGAACTTACCTTTTCTTGTATGTCTTCATTATTGTATTAAAGCTTTGTACAAAATGTACCATTAGACTGATGAGATTATGTGGTTTCTTTCATATGTAATTTAAATGAAATATGTTCAAATAAGTCTCTTTTCTTAAACAAGAGTTACCATCACACTGATGAGATTATGGGCTTTCTTTTAAACTGTATTTTAAATAAAATATGATTAAGTAAGACCCTTTAAAATATTATTTACATTTTCACATTTTTCTTTAATATATGGAAGAACTGGAGCTAACTTTTTCTTATATCTCTTTATCATTACCTTCAATTTTTAAACAAAAGGTACAATCACTCTGATGAGATCATGGGCTTTCCTATGTAATTTAAATAAAATATAATTTAATAAGACTCTTTAAAATATTATTTACATTTTCACATTTTTGTTAAATATACATAGAAAAATAAAATTATTTTCGTATATCTCTAATATTGCATTTCAATTTGAAACAAAATGTACCATCACAATGATAAGATTATGGGCTTTCTTTTTGTATGTAATTTCAACCAAATATATTTTAAGAAGATTCTTTTAAAATTTAATTGCATTTTCACAATTTTCTTAAATGGAAGAAATGGAGCTTACTTTTTTTTATATATCTCTTAATAATTACATTCAAATTTTAAACAAAAGGCACCATTACACAGATGAGAGTATTGGCTTTCTTTTCATTAAAATTTAAAACAAATATCATTTAAAAAGACTCCTTAAAAGTTTTTTTTACAAATTAGCATTTGTGCTAAATATAAGCAAAAAAATGCAAAATACTCTCTCTTTCATCTCGTTATCCTTACAATTCAAATTTTAAACAAGAGGTACCATCACACTGAGATTATGGGCTTTCTTTTCATATGTAATTTAAATAAAATATGATTAAATAAGACTCTTTAAAAATTTTATTTGCATTTTCAAATTTTTGTTAAATATACCGAAGAAATGGAATTTACTATTTATTTGTTGAGGCATGCTCATAAACAACAAAAACATGTTAAGGAAATAGTATGTGCGTAGTTTGGTTTATCAATATATCCGTTCCCACACAGCTTACAGCCAAGAAACAGTTATTGATCCTAGTTAAATTTCCTTATGTACCATATATAGCTTAAATAGAGGAAGTATTCCGAATAATAATGATATTTGTGATTTGTAATAAAGAGCATAAATACTTCTCTGTAATATAATAAAAATCATTTCGATCATTAAGTTCACTCTTGGTTGTTACTGAAGGCATAGAATATATTAAGTAAGACATATGGCGAGTAACTAGAACTCAACAGGTTATGGGCCCAGGAGAGGTTTGCTTTTCCATGGAAGCGAAAGCAAATATGAGCTATGGGAAGTAAAATTCTTGGGCTATATGCGTCTTCAAAAACTGTACGACGTATTTATCAAATCAGCAAGTGAGAGAGAAGAACCAGCAGCTTCAAAACTGACTGACGCTTTTGCAGAGTTGGTCCAATGTCTGGACGACATAAGTTTGTCTCTCGTGATTCGGGAGGCAAAAGACAACGCACGGAGAGCTTTCGAAATCCTCAGACTTAACTATCAAGGCAGAGGAAAACCTCGCATCATTGCTCTTAACACAGAACTCACTTCGCTGAAGAAAAGTGACGACGAGACTTTCACAGATCATATAATGCGAGCGGAACGATCGGCAACAGCCTTAAGAGAAGCCGAGGAGATAATAAGTGATAAACTACTCATTGCAATGGTTTTAAACGGCCTGCCAAGCACGTTAGATGTCTTTGCTACTGTAACAGTTCAAAGTGAAAGACAAATGACATTTACGGAATTTAAGAACTCGTTACGAAGTCATGAAGAAAATATGAAACCATTGTCACCAAAAACTGAGGTAGGTGACAACGTTATGTATGTGAAAGCAAAATTTGACGGAAATTGTTTCAAATGTGGAAGAAAGGGACACAAAAGCTCAGAATAGCGAGTGAAGGGGAGCAAATGGTGCTCCATTCGCAAGACCAAGACCCACGACACGAAAGATTGCCGAAAGACTCAAGGAATGTCCAAGTCAGCTAAAGACGAGCAGCGCAGTGACAGCGAACGGCAACAGTCCTTCTTATTCGTGTCAAAGGATGAAAAAGAGAACGCTGAAGCAAGCATGAAGGATAACGATCAAGCGAATTTCAATCTACTTGTGGACACAGGAGCTACAAGCCATATTATTAATGCTATATGAAAATTTATAGATTTTGATAGTAAATTTTATACTAAAGCGCATGTTATTGAATTAGCAGATGGCAGTAAAGCCAACAGAGTAGTTGGTAAAGGTACTGCTAAAGTGAAATTAGTTGACATGCATGGAAATGCGCAGGATGTCTTATTGAGTAATGCCTTATATGTCTCATTTTACGATCAAATATATTCTCAGTAAATGCTGCCGTAGAAAAGGGGCAAAAGTCAAATTAGATAAACACGATAAGCATGTATAGTGCCCTGATGGCACAACGTTTGGAATAAGACAAGAAGGCAAATTTTACTATATAAATAGCATATCATTTTCGAATAAAAATGCATGTTCTCTTTACAAGTGGCACAAGGTTCTAGGTCACTGCAACTACAAGGATATTACGAAACTAGAGAAGGTGGTTAAGGGGATGAAAATCACAGACTTGAGGGAAGTTGAGTGTGAGATTTGTACGCAAGGTAAAATGTGTCAGACGAAAAGTAAGATGGAAGATAAAAGGCGAGGGTCCTCCTAAGTTTATTCACACGAATCTTGCAGGTCCTTTTGATTCGGAAGGAAGGGAAGGGTTTAGATATGCATTGTCGTTTATGAATGATTATTCAGGATTAAATATGGTCTATTTTCTTAAGCATAAAAACGATACACCACTAGCATTAAAACAGTTTTTAGCAGATGTTGCACCTTAGGGAAATGTAAAGCGCATATGAAGTGATAACGGCACTGAATTTACAAGCAAGAAATTCAAATCGATTCTTAGGGAAAATAAAATTAGTCATGAAACTAGTTCATCATATTCGCCACACCAGAAGCTCGTGGTTAACTCTATTTAACATGGCTAGGTGTGTATTGCTTGAAGCGGAACTACCAAAATCCATGTGGACATATGGCATCATGGCGTCTGCTTATATTAGGAATCGTTGTTTTAAATCGAGGTTGAACAAAACTCCGTTTTAAGCATTTACAGGCTCAAAACCAGACATGAGAAAAACGCACGTTTTGGCTGTGTTTGTTATCATTATTCACAAAATTCCAAAAGTTAGACCCTAGAAGTAAACAA